TATATGATCAAGAAATTTTTTAATGGTTAAGAAAATGGGAAATTTCCCCCCTCATCTAGAGACCTGACACTATGTGGGTTAGTGGGGGAGAACCAAGGAAGCTGAGGATCAGCGTGAGCCAAAATCACTCTGAGCAGGGTGGGCAAGGCCAAATCATCACTGGGAATTTGACCCCAAAGACCACCCTGGCATCAGGCAAAGGAGTCCCCAACACTGATCTTCATGGCACCTTGGTGGATATATTCCTTCAAACTGTGTAAATTATTGACTGGCAGCATTTCCAGAGGAGTTGGTTAAACTCCCCACAGCACAAAATCAGCTCCAAGGTCAACGTGGGCACAGCAGCCTGGTCCTTGCCTTTCCAGGAATGGCAGCAATGGAATTTGCAGCAGCAGAGGGGCCTGGTTTTGTCTTGCCAAACTGCACTGGTAAAGAAAACCCCATTTCTCTGAAATTTTTCAGGTGTGGCCAGTTGAAATAGAGTGCAAAGGACCTTCCCACAGCTCAGGTTTGGCTGGAAGCTGCTGCTGCACTGGCTTAAAGGGAGGTCTCACCTTCAATCACCTTTCTGAATCTCTGAGCCTGTCCAAAGCATGTCACCAACACTGAGAAAAACAGTGATTTTTGGAGGACTTGGGGGCAATCCTCGTGCTCAGCACCCCTGAGCCCAAGCTCCTGGTGGTTTCAGTGCAGGAGGGCTGTGGTGCCATTTGTGGGGCTGGGCAAGGTGCTGTGCAGACCCCCAGGGGCACCGGTGCAGTGCTGCAAGCTGGGGGGATGGGGGTGTGTCTGTCTGCTCAAAGATCAGGGAATCACAGAATGGTTTGGGCTGGAAGGGACATTTACAGGCCATGGGCAGGGACACCTTCCATTAGACCAGGTTGCTCAGAGCCCTGTCCAGCTTGATCCTGAACATTTCCAGGGGTGGGGCATCCACAGCTTCTCTGGGCAACCTGTGCCAGGGCCACACCACCCTCTTTGTAAAAAATTTCCTTATGATGGATTTGGCACTTGATGGTGACAGGATGCCCCTAAAGGTGGGTGGGGTTTTTGTTCTGGTCTTAAAACAAACATTCTAAACTCCAAATGTCTCATGGCATATAACCCTAAGCTTCATCAGTGCCTAATAGCAGATTTGATAATTGAGACCTGAAGCATTTAACTACACCTAATTAGTATCTCATAGTTAATGTATTGGTTTTTCTGCTCTAAATAAATAAACAAATAAATAATCACTTTACAGGTCACCTTTTCATTTCTAGCTACTTTTACTTTCCCCTCCAATGCACATGCTCAGCACTGCAGGCCCACAAGGGGTGCAGTTTTCAACAGTTTACTTCCAATTCTTCTTAGGTTAAAATAATCTAAACTTCATGGCTGGATTTTCAAATAAGCCTAAAGAGTTTAGGGGCTTAAATGCTATTAGAGTTCAAAGCAATTTGCTTGCATGACCTCCTTTTAAAAGCCATTGTTCATACGTGGAGGGATTTTCGAAAATACTTCGGGCCCAGATCAAAACCAATCAATCACAGTCTCAGATCCCTAAATAGTTTTACAAGGTGTGCAGCAAGGGATTCAAACCCTCGGAAATGAGGGGAAGTCAAACATTCAGGCATTTAGGGGAAAGTATGTCTGTGTGGCCAGGCTCAGTGTGCTGGGAAGAGTTTTTTTTTAAAGGCACATACGATGGCCTTGGGTGCCATATCAAAGCTCTGCTGATTTACTGGCAGGGATTTGGTGGCAATTGTAGAAACTCGTTTGTATGACTGTGCTTGGTATTGCTGTGGCTCGTGAAATATGGGCAGAATGATCTGTAGCACTTCAAAGCTGCTTTGTGCGAGTCTAAATGTGGCTGTATGGGAGGCAACAGCAATATAACTATATTGATTTTTTTTTTTTTTAAATCATACTCGTAAGTGATATTTATCCTGGTGTGCTGGTTTTGGCTGGGGTGAAGTTAATTTTGTTCACAGGAGATGGCATGGGACTAGGGTTTGGATTTGTGCTGGAAATAGTATTGATAACCCAGGGATGTTTTCATTGTTGCTGAGCAGTTCTCACATGGAGTCAGAGCCCTTTCTGCTCCTCACCCCACCCAGCAGGGAGGAGGTGGGGATGGACAAGGAGCTGGGAGGGGACACAGCCAGGACAGCTGACCTCAGCTGAGCCAAGGGATATCCCAGACCACATGGCATCATGCTCAGTATATAAAAGTGGGGAAAGAAGGAAAGAGGGGATTTTTGGAGGGATGGTGTTCATCTTCTCAAGTCACCGTTACGTGTGATGGAGCCCTGCTGTCCTGGGGATGGCTGAGCACCTGCCATGGGAAGTGAGGAATGAATTCCTTGTTTTGCTTTGTTTGCATGCATGACTTTCTCTTTACCTATGAAGTGTTTTTATCTCAACCTGCAGGTTTTCTCAGATTTAATCTTCCAATTCTCTCCCCCATCCCACCGGGGGAGCGAGCGAGTGACCATGTGGGGCTGAGATCCCACCTGGGCTTAAACCAAGGAAACTTGTCCAAGGCATGTACTTATTATCCCATCCTTAATTCTCCTTGAAATACCAAAGAAATGGCGCACTTAAACCTTTTTGTCAGCAGTGAAGACCTCAGACTTTGTGCCTCACTGGTGCTGGCACACTTTGGTCGTGCCTGTGAGTGAACAATGCCTTGTCCCTCTCTGCCACCTCTACTTTTGCATTTGAATGGAAGAGCACAGGGTGGGAGGGACGGTGTCCATCTCCCATTCCTGCTCCAACAAGCCTTGCTTTCAGAATATTTTTCCCAATAACTGCCTCCCATCCTTTTGTCTACATCAGAAGCCCATTCCCCCTTGATCTGTCCAGCATGGGCAGAGAGCAGGTTGCTCCCCTCACCTCCAGTGACACATTGGGGACACCATTACCAAGAGCCCAGCAATCTTCCAGCTTCTTCTGATTTGAGCTGCAGAGGTGCTGGGAGGGACCATGACCCCACAGAGCCAAAGCTGTGTGACCATCTCTGATGTTCTCGTGTCATTTCTTGCATGAACATTGAGGGGCTGAAGGGAGAAAGGGCTGTTGGGGGTCTGTGTGGTGCCTTTCTGCCCTAAGGTGTTTCCAGAAGGCAATTAGGCAGGATGACCATTGCCAAAAGGGGGTTAAAAAGGGACACAATGGAACAGGAATGGTGGGGAGGGGGTGAAGGGATCAGTGGAGGTGGTGAGGGTGGTACTGAGCTGTGCCAGGCCAGGACAAGCTGCTGAGCACAGCCCAGCTTTGGTGCCACCAACCCATCACTTCACCAGTTAGGACACAGAAACCTGGGCTCAGGTAGAGCTTTGGGAGAAGCTCCTGGAGCCTTGCAACACTAGGGGAGTTATTTTAGAAATGGGCCTGCCTTGGGAAAACCCTGTGGGTTTGTGTCTTCAGGGGATAGGAAGGTCCCAGGACTCTCTGCACCCTTGGGAACAGAGGGAGGTGTGTAAGGATGAGTTGGAAGGTGGCTTGGGGTAGCCAGGAGGGGATGTGGCTCAACACCTGCAGTGGACTCGGTACCTTGAGGCTGAGTGACCTCCAAGCTGTTTTCCTTAACTTGCCAAGGTGGAAATGCCTCCCTCATGGGTTAACTCATAATTCCAGATACAGTTCTCTTTGGACTCCTTGAAATCTCTGCTCTGTTGTGATTTTATTAAGATCCTGGCTGGTGTGTTAGCAGCCAGTGAGTTTCATCCTCAGGCTTCTTCTTAACCACATTCCCAGACAATCCCTGACTTTGTTTTACCTCATCAGGGTCTTTTGAAGGCTGGACTCACCCTCCTGTTGTGTTTATGCAGCACAAAGCAACAATTGGGTGCTCCTTTAGTCCAGAAAATGCTGAAGATCAAGAACCAGCAGATAGATGAGCCCATGGTAACACAAGATCCTGCTTCACTAATAAATTTCTATCACTGAGACATTTCCACCAGCCAGAAAAAGATAATAAAGGAGATTGGTTTTGCCTGACAATTTTTAAAGCCCTTCACAACCAATGTTCTTGTTCCTGCTTCCCACTCAGTTCTCAATTAGGGAAGAACTATTATCTTCTCATTCCCCTTTCTGGACATGCATTTTGTTGACTTTTTCCCAACCAACCCTTCCTCTACTGTATTTAAGACTGGCACAACTTAAAATATTCATCATTAGGGATTGAATTGGATCTGCCAGACACAGAGAAGTTTCCTACATACGTGTGGTGGGATGGTGGGTCCCCCATCACCTTCAAGACTTGTGTGCCATGAACATCACCTTAGTGTGGACCTTCCCTTCCCATCCCCAAAATCCCTTCAGAGGGGCCCCCCTTGGAAAAGGATTCTGCTGTCAGTGTAGCAAAAGGGATGCAAAAGGGAACTCTGGTTTAGAGCCAGCTCCTGTGAATGAGGCCTTTTGACTACCTGGCAATTTTCATCACAGAGTCAAAAGAATCATTTGTTTCCTTTCACTTTTGGCCACCAAAATTATTTTGTCTGAAAACAAAACAAAGGATTATTGGTTTTGGCTTCCATAAGAGGAAAAAGAAGTTTGGTTGATGAAAAGAGCTTGATTTAGGGGGGTTAAAAGTAAAACAAAAAATTGGATAAATGAAGAAAAATTGACCAAATGTTTCATGCAATAAAAAATCCCCTAAGGTAAGGTTTGGAAAGCCAAATTAGGTATTAAGCCTCCTTTGTTTTATTGTCAGAAGTGGTGAGGTCGGCTTAAAATGGCAATTGCAAGCCAAAATCTGGATGACCTTTCAGGAAGACTCTGAGCTCCCCCAAGGACCCCGTCACTTCTAAAAACTTTACACCTGCATTTCTTTTACAGGGGCAGTGCTAAACCCTGGACCCACTGAGGGAAGCAGCCAAGCTGCAGGTGATGGACAGCACCAGGTTGCTCTTCACAACCTCCTTTTTGTGGGTGGACACATCACCTCTTCTCTGAGAGAAGCAAGAAAACAAAGCAGCATTGAAAGAAAAGAATAAATCAGAGCAAATCATGTTTCAGCACGACTATTATTTTTTTTTCTGTATTCCCCCCCTCTCTACTGATACGTAAAAAAAATATATATTATATTATATTTTCCTTTTCTTAAATTATTTTTTTTTTTTCCTCAGCCTCAGTCCCAGCCAAAGTCCTGCCCCGTCATCTGGTAGAACTTCATGTTGAAGGGCCGGTAGAAGTCCCGCAGCCTCTGCACCACCTCCTGGTCGATGTCGGGGTGGGTCCTGCCTTTGGTCTTCCCCAGGCAGTGGGGTTTGCTGCTGCCTTCCGCCTTCTTCAGGCACGGGAAGCCCTTGGTTTTGTTGAAGTAGAAGTGTTTGTCGGTGATGATCCTCTTGAGGCCCAGAAAGTCCTGGACCCTGCCCAGCTCCCCCGCGGGGTCGCTGATCAGCCTCTCCCCGCTGACGAAGAGGATCTGCCCGATGGGGAAGTAGAGGAGCCAGTTCTCCAGGTGCTTGGCGTAGATGCCAATCTGGATGGCGCTCCACGAGGTGTCGATCAGGCCCGTAGTCCTGTTTTTGAAGGTCAGGCTCTCAAAGGTGGGGATGTCGGGCTTCTTGGAGAGCGTCTGGGTGTAGTCCGAGATGGCTCTGGTCACGGGGTCCCGCACCACCACGATGAGCTTCGTGCCCTTGGACATGGAGGAGATGCGGGCTGGGGCCTCCTTGGTGACGAAGTAGCTGGGGGTCTTCTCCATGGTGATCTGCCCCTCCAGCGTCCTGGGCATCAGGTCCCTGGGATAAGGGGAGAGAGGGGCACGTTAGTGCCAGAACTCCCTGGGTGGGGTGGGGGAGCTGGCTCTGGGCAGTGCTGTGGGCACATCCCAGGTATCAGGGGCAGGATGGTCCTGAACCTCACAACTCCAGCCCAGCTCTTTCCTCTTCAGGAGGCCCATAATACTCTGAGATTCTGCAAAGATCTGAGCTCACTGCTGATTTCCCACTTCCTTTACCTGCCTATTTACCTGGAATTAGACCTGAACTCATTTGGCCTCTTCAAAGCCTCCCCTCTTGATGGGATCCCACCTCCCTCCTTGCAATGGCTCTGTAAGAACACAGCACACCTTCACGATCCTAATGCCCTATCCCTTTAAATTCCTCCCTGCCCACACTGGGGTTTTCTGCACAGTGGCTTAAATTCCCTGGAATAACAGTGAATTCCTGGAGTAACAACACTCCCTTCCTGCCGGACAGAGGGATTTTCAGGGGCCCGGATGCAAGACTTTATCTTTTGGTATTTTCAAGGTGGAAGCAAGTTGATGCCACATAAAAATGTGCAACAGCAGCTCCCTGACCTCAGCAATTTCCTTCTTTCAGCTAAAGACATCCTACACACAGGTTGCTTCGGGAAGCTGTCCTAGATGGAGTGGAAGGGCCCTGGGGCTCAGGCCAGGGTTCATCCTGTTCCAGCATCTCCATGAGAGTTCAGAGCCCTCCTGGCCCAGGAATGGGTGTGGTTTGCTAAAGGACCACGGGATTTGGTGGTAGGATAACCTGAGGATAAACAAGGCAAGCCAGGAAGGTGCAGGAGCCATATGAGCATCCGACTGCTCCTCCTGGGCACTCCCAGCTCCTCTCCTTGCTCCTCCTTGCCTGCCACACCACATCCCATCCCCTCACACACATCACCCTGTGTATCACCCCCAGACAGGGGCCAGCATCTACAAAACACCAGTGATTCACACCACCATCACTTGGTTACACGAACCCATCCTGCCTTCCAGCCTCTCAGCAGCGCTTCCCTCTCCCCAGCTGACATTCCGACGGTCCCGTCCTTCCCAGGGGGAATGGGAGATGGATGGGAGCTGGTTGCTGCACCAGTGAGGTTCACTGCCGTGCCACCAGCAGTTCTCATGGCAACTGCAGCCCCCCAAGCCCTGAGCCCTCAGCTTTGACCCCTCTGAGGCCGTGACACCCGCGCTCAGTGATGAACTGCTCCGTCCCTGCTTTACTGCCACCGTCCTGCAGCAGCAACAACATCTGCTTTGCAAACCTGTGCAATATGCCAGCAAAATTAAACTCATCTATCAAAAAAGCAACAATAAAAAGCCAACAATGGCTAAAAACACCAATAACAACCAAACCCCAGGCTGTTATGTTACAAATGAGAGAGCAAGGAATGACCCTACCCTAAAGCAATTCCCTTCGCAACCATATTACACAGAGGCTGAGCAAAGGCATGGTCCTAGAGAAGCCAAATCTTTGCTGAGGGTTTCTCTTTAGGGGAAACCCCAAGAATTTGGGGCACTCAGAATGGAGAATAAATGAGCTGAGAGGTATGAGAGAGCCCTCGCACGGCCTGAAGGCTGTGAAGACATAAAGGGAATCACTGCTGAACTAAAGATGGCCTTTGCCAAGCAGACACATAATTCTGCGGTGGAATTTGCCATCAGTTGATGCTGAGAAGGCCAAAAGCATAACTGGTTCAGAAACAGACTGGCCAAATTTATGGTGGCTGAGATGAAGTGGTGGCAGTGAAATGTGGGAGTCCCAGAGCCACTTGAGCCATGGGGAGAGCCCCCAGTCCTGACTGCCCTCAACTGGGAGGAGGTAACAGGAGGAGATCTCCAATCCCCAGCCTTCATACACTTGTCTGTGGATACCTGATACCAGCCACCATCTGGAAGGAGGCACTGGGCTGGAAGTCTCTTTGCTCTGGCCTGGTGCAGCTGGTTGGATGGGGTTTTGCTCAGGGCAGCCTCACTTTTGACAAGGGCATGGAGTGATAGGACAAGGGGTGATGGCTTTAAAGTGAAAGAGGGCAGGTTTAGATTGGATATTAGGAAGGAACTCTTCCCTGTGAGGGTGGTGAGGCCCTGGAACAGGTTGCCCAGAGAAGCTGTGGATGCCTCATCCCTGGTTCAAGGTCAGGTTGGACAGGGCTTGGAGCAACCTGGGATAGTGGAAGGTGTCCCTGCCCATGGCAGGGGGTTGAAACAAGATGATCTGTAAGGTCCTTTCTGACTCAAACCATTCCATGAATCATTCTATGAATCACCTTTCTCCCCCATGTGCATCAAACTCCCATTTCTCTGATGTGGTCGTGTTGCCCTGCAATGACTGAGTCATCTGCAAGCACCTGAACCCTTGGAAGGGTGAAGGAACCAGGTCATACCCCCTTCCCCACTGCCTGCCAGCTCAGTCCCCACTGTCCCTGCCCCTGTAAGAGCCTCCTGCAGCTCAGAGTTGCTCTTGAGCAAGAGCAGCAGCAGGACAAGGGCAGCAGGATGGCACTGACTTCTGTTTGTGTTCTGGTAAGTGTTGAAATCTCAGCTGTGCCTTCCCAAGGAGCAGATTAAACCCCTTCCACGGCAAGGCTGCAACACAAAGTGTCCCTCAGTGCCCAGGAATGAACACACACCTCCACTGCCGGGCCAGGACACCCCGGGAGCCCCGGGAATGTGCTACCACAGCGTTGGGGAGATTAATTAATTACAAAGGGCATCTTTCATGGACATAAACAGTTGCCTGGAGGCCTCCTTGGACTAATGGCATCTGGGTTTTATTGCAAAAGAGCCACTTGAAAAGACAAGAACCACAAAAATGTTTCTGGCAAGAGCAGCCACCAGCGAGCCCTGCCAGAATAAATGGATTCTGTTATTTTAATTTTAGTAGAGCCCGGAGCTTTATTTAATTACTTAATAGGGGAGGAAGACTTTCCTCAAAGACAGCATTTCAGCCAGGCATGTATATTCATATCTGGCCTTCCCCAGGTCCACACTTTCTTCCCAACACCAGTGTCCAAGGTCCAAGACGGCTCATCCTGTGTCTGGCCAAAGACCCTGGAGGTAGCTCATGAGGGGGGTTGTGACCCCTTCCTCACCCCAATGAGCTTTGCAGGACTTCACTCTGGTCATGAAACAGCTTGGATTTGTCTTCCCTGGGAGCTGATGCAGCAAAGCCTCCAGCCCCTGGCCAGAGCAAGACAGGCACAGCTGTAGGGTCAGCAGCCCCAGAGGATCAGGATGGGGTGGTGCTGAGCAAGGGCTGAGCGCCAGGATTAGGGTGACAGGTCCAAGTGATGCACGTGGGGCTGCTCAGGGATCTCCTGATGCACTTGGTTTGCCAGTCCTCAACACAGGCCCCACTGGGGCATCCCAGTAAATGGTTCCCAACCCTCAGGCCCTGCAGGTGTGGGAGCTGACCTTTGGTGTCATGTTTATTATGGCTTTTGTAGCTCTTTGTGGACTCTACAATGCAGCCCTTCAAAAGCTGGACTCTAAGTTTCCCAGGGTGTTGGCTCAACCCCTGCCCCAGAGATCAGAGTCCACAGAGACACCCTCTGATCTCGAGTCTCTGTTCTTATCAAGAGCACAACTCCAGGGAAGAAATCATGTCCAAAAACCTCCCTCCTCACAAGGCTGAGCACCCAAGGGTTGTGTTTCTGGCAATTTAGCTTGGAGGAGCAGAAGCAATGATGGGTGTTGGTGGTGTTTGCCACCAGCTCGTGCTGGGAACACACCTCGGCTCCATCAGGGGCTGGGAAATGGGTCAGAACAGCTGGTTTGCCCTCAGCTGACCTGTGCTGCTGTCCCACCAACTCCAAGCAGCAGGAAAAGCTGGTGACTGGCAAGAAAACAAGCACTGGTTGTTCCAGAAATGGGATTTCTGGGAGGGAACAGCCTGTTCCATGTAGGAGGAGCAGCCCTGGGCTGCTGTTTCCCACAGAGGTCGGAGCAGCTTTTGGTCACTGGATTCAGAAAACCCGACGTGAGTTTGCTGTTTGAAGTCCATCTGCTGCTTTGCTCCCAGCTGGACCGAGCCCTGTCCTGCTCAGGACCTCCTGGGCTCCTTGGCAGCAGGCAAGGCACGAAGAGCAGCTGTGGATGGACTCGCTGCAAACCTTTCCCACATAAATCTAGTCCAGCCCTCTCTCCAAGGGAGGCTGACGTCAGTAGATAAGGGCAGCTCCTCACCAGACCTGATGCCACTGCAACCCAGAGCAATAAATAAAGCTGCTGTGATTACAGGTCAGCCCCATGGGCTCTCTGGGCTCCAGTAAAACCTGCCCTTGACCATGTGCTGAGGGCAGGATTCATCTCCTCTTAACCCCAGAAGGTGAGTTCCTTCTTCCTGGCAGTGCTTGTATGACTTCTTAAAAATAATCAGCCTGCCAGAGCCTGGGTATCCAGGCTGGGTGGACTGAAAGGATCATCCAGAAGGAGGTGTGCCAAGCCTGATGCCAATGATGGTGTCATCTCCCTGCCCTGTGCTGGCATGGAAGGGTCTTGCACCCACCAGCCTTGAGCTCAGCTGCAGCAGAGAACTGAGTCTGTGCTCTGCCTGAAATGGCAATAACAATGTCCCTGGGGAGGAGGAGGATGCAGGGAATGGGTCTGGACCAGCACTGGGGTTTGCATCCTGCAGCAGCACAGCTGCAGTGCCAGAGCAGGGAACAGTTCAGGAGGAATGAGCAGTGAGCGAGAAATATCATCAAATGCTGATATCCTGCCCCAGCCCCAGCAAGCTGGGGGTGGCACACGCTCCCCCTGACAGGCTCTGCTGTCCCTGGGACAGTGACAGGTCACTGGGTGCAGGAAGGTGAGCAGAGGGGTCTGCAAGCAAACACAGCACAGGTACAGCCTGAAGTGCAAACCCACCACCACCGAGCCCTGAGATGCAGAAAACTCCACAGCCTGGGCATGTGCCTGCCAGTGGCAGCTCAGGGACAATGCCTGTGTCCCTGGACCCCTCCACCAATGCTGCTGGGCCACCTGAGTGCTCTCCCCACCTGC